CCTGATTATGAGGATGAAATAAATTCCAGTATGAGTAATTTTCTTCTGAAGCCCAAAAATTTAATCATAAGACTGCTTCTAATGCAGCAGTTTCCAGGGAATAATTAACAAAAAATTAACTGAAAATTAAATCATTTGTGCACATATTTTTCCTTCTGATAATGGAGAGACCCACAATTTTTTGAAGAAAGTATTTTTTTTTCTATCCCAATGGCAAAATGAATAACTTCATATCTGGCAAGATAGTTAACATACTAATAAAGTTATTAATCCTTCTTACCTTTTTTCAATGTGAGCATTAACTGGTAGATAGCCTTTGCTATGGGACTCCTTATCTCCCTTATTCCTCTAATCAAGTAATAAACAGTCATAAGTATAAAGCTGGGCAAACTACAGCCCAGAGAAGTAAACAACGTTCCTTCAAGAGGATCAATAGCAGAAATAAGACTAGAACTTCAATCTTCAATCTCTCAGTTCAATGAACATCATACAAAATGTCATCTCCTCCCCCAGAACAAAAACAAAACAATGAACTGTGAATTAATCATTATGTATCTGACATTTATTGGCTGATTGTGCTCGCCTGGTGCAGTGGTAAATACTTTGGATACACAAGCTCATTTAATCCTCATGAGAAGCTTATGTCCTACGGGTTATCATTCTCCCCTCATAGACGTGGCGAGTGAGATTTAATCCATGGTACATCTGCTGTCGCGTGTAGCCACAGACTCCTCACTGAAGAACTGTTTCTCTGCTACCACGTGTTGCAAAGTTAAGATGGAAAAAAAAGAAAGACCTTCCAGGTAACGTGTTCCATGGCTTCAGTATAGAAACTCAGCGTTCCCCACGTGAGCTCTAGGTGAGTGATGCCATAACCCCACCAGTGACCCCAAAATAGTAAGGTGGATTTCAACCTTGGCTTCTCCCTCCTCATTACCTTCTTTCCCACAGGCAGTGAATTACTGAGCCCATTAATCTGAGTTTCCTATTTCTTTATGTATTTCTCCATGCTTACTATCCATGCTTTAGCTGACAATTTAACACACCTGGGAAGAGTCTCAGCTGAGAAATTTCCTCTGTCATACTGGCCTTTGGACATGCCTGTGAGCCATGTTCTTGATTGTTGAGCGATGTGGGAGGGCCCGACCCATTGGGAATGGTGCCATCCTTAGGCAGGTGGCCCTGGGTGATATAAGAAAGCAGGCTGAGCACGGGTCAGAGGAAGCAAGCCAATAAGTAGCACTTCTCCACGGTCTGTACTTCAGCTTCTGCCTCTAGGTTCCAGCCCTGAGTACCTGCTTTAGATTCCCTTGATGATGGACAGTGAGCTATAAGCCAAGTAAACCCTTTCCTCTCCAAGTTGGTTTTGGTCACAGCAACAGAGAACCAAACTAGAACATTGCCATTACACTTCACCATCATGGTTTCCCTCCTGGTTTATGCAACTCTTCTAAATGTTCTTCCCATAGCTCATTTTAGTTTTTCCAGTCATCCTCTGTAAGTAGCCAGAATAACGAATCTTTCTGAAATGCATATATTTGCCTACTTTAAAGCAGCCTTGCCTATGGGTTAGAACCTATATTTTACATAATACCTTAAGCCCTTGATGACTCAGCCCTATAATTTCCTCACTACACTGGAAAACATATACATTGACACAAATGTACAATGTTATCATAAGTAGATCTCTGTGCATTCCATCTTCTTGGTTAGAATACTCCCTATTTCTGCTCATTAGCCTGGATTTCAGATGTCTTTCTCCTAAACAGACTCCAGTGATTACCTGGAGTTGCTCTTTCCCATAGCATGTCTCATGCCATAACTGTAAATGTATGCTCAGCAATCTGTATCCCTCACTGCAATGGGAATCACAGATGCTTGAGACTTCATGATCCTCATAACCTACTAAGGTACCAGGCAAATAACAGATATTAAGGAATATTTGTGGGGTGAAGAAAATAGGGAAAATGTAAAGATAAAAGGAAATGAAGAACTTCGAGAGAATAATGAAGAGGTTTTAAAGGAAAAGGAAATGAGAGGGAAGGAGGAGGGAAGAAGGAGGATGGAGAGACAGAGTCCAAGAGACTTAGTACAGGAAGGAGGGAAGGTAGAAACAGTACATGGAGCAAGAGTGAAAATGGGGAAGGGTCACACCAAAATCCTAATGGAAGATTTTCTGGGGAAGATCCGGACACGTTTGTTAGCTAATCATTTCTCTAGGGTTACAGGCAGGTTCAGGGTCTAAATAATAAAGAAAATGGCCAAAAAAGAACCCAAGAAGAAACTGAGTTCAAGTCCATCTTATAATTGAGGAAAATGAACTGAAGACAGGGGTGATGTGCCCAGCAGAAGGCAGTTAGCATGGGTTAAGAGGTGACCAGAGCAAGTTCTCAGCACACGTCTTCCCAGAGACTACTCAATGACAAGAACAGGAGAGCAGCTTCAGGCCTTTGATTTGTGGGTGTGCCCATCACATTTCTGGGCACTATTTCTTTTGTCTAGTATTTTTATTTAACATAAAAACTTCACTTTCAAGGCAGTGTCAGTAGTGAAACCCAAGAATATTTGAGCTCCTTCTGCCTCTTGCTTTGTGCTCCATCCTCTAACGAGCTCTGGGCTCTTCCTCTCTGCACTGTTCAGTTTGTTACACTGTTCTGTCATCCAAAGCCCCTGCTGCCATTTCTACCTTTTGAAATCATTTGCATTATTTGGAGGCTTTGCTTGAGAGTCTTTTCTTCCACGAGACCTGCTTCAGTCTGCCCAAGATAGAAGGAGTGCGCTATCATCTCTGCCCCAATGATACCTTTCTCGAATACTTTTCAAATGAACTTTAGTATAGTTCCATTTGTATCCTTTTTCTGCGCTCAGTCTTCTCTCTAGAACGCAAGATGCATTTCTGCTTTATCTATGCCTCCCCCATAAGATAGTAACAGCACTTCATGACCTACATTTTATATATTTGACAAGTTGATTAAACCATGGAACCAATTTTCCATGCTTATAGTAACATAGCTATGAACCATAATACTTTTCTACCTCCTTAAACCTTCATGGGTATACTTTTACTGGCCAATTGTTTTTCACGGACTATTGTTCAATTGTTCTTTAAAGAAGTGAGCTGCTAGTGTGGACCAGTGGTGACACATAAAGGCGAGAAAAGAGTATAACTGGGTCAGTAACTACCAGAACCTTTAAACTTTTATGAGAAATGATGACTTATCTTGGCCTATTGAAAAAGTGATTAGTACAAGAGTTTCATGTCCCCTTAAAAATATTGACAAATCAAGAGCTAGTTGAAAGAAAAGGGGGCACCATGATTGTAATTCAGCTTCTATGTGCAGGCTTCACTTCATGGGGACACATTTCAATGATAGCAAATAGGACAGGCGTTAAGAAATACTAACTTTTCTGAGGTTAGGCGGGATTTGCCTGAGTGAGTAACCTAGACTGCTCAGTTCTTTCATTTGGACCATGGCTATTCTTCTGTACGCAGATGGAAAATTGAGTAACAAACTGAAATGAAGTAAAGAAGATGCTAAATGCTGGGCTCCCATTCTCCCTCTCAGCAAGTCCAATTCTTCTGTACACTCTGTTCCTAACAGGGAACGTTAAAAACGCTGTCACTTTAAGGAAAAAGCTTTTAAACTGTTTCAAAAATATTTAAACAATGACTTTGGATGAGGTTTTGCATATTTTAAAAACATTTTTTGAAACCTAATTTAAAGTGTGCTCAAGTGCAAAATATTTCTCTATTGATCACCTAGGACTAGCAGTCCAGACAGCAATGGATGGACAGCGGCAGACTGTTTTATGTGTACTCTCCCCTAAGCGCTGTTCCAAGAGTGTGGTTTTTCATTACTGCCCAAATGAAATGCATACCTGGACTCACTATAGGCAGATAACGCAGAGGACTCCAATTTTCTCACAGTTTTAAAAATGTAATTTTTCCAGCATTAAGGAAGTATCTACAACTCTATTGGTTTTAAAATGCCACATAGAAATCAGAAGAAAATTAAGCACACAAAAAAACAGAAAAGAATTCACAGTGGAAAAATTGTGATTTTGTCATCTCACTCCAACTGAGAGTTTATGTTAGTATTAAAATTAAAACATGTATAAACTTCACACCCCCTAGTGCCTTTCTTAAACTTCATAGACACAACATGATAACATTTGTTAGAATAAACATTCCTTTGGGATGTACAGAAAAGAGGAGCTAGTAATGCTGTTGTCTGAGTTCCTGACACACCATTGCTTATCTTACCTGCATTTTCCTAAACCTGATGAAAATCAGATAATTTTAAAGTTTTGATTTTTTGCTCAGGTCTATTTCTTTCATATCCATCTTGCCATAGGAAAAGCATTTGAATTTTCCTTCTTTTGGAATTCCTTAGTGAGAAAAATAAAACCCTGAAGTGTAAATTCACTTACTCATTAGAGTCAGTCCCAAATTGCAACTTATTTTTAAGAAGCAAATTGGTTAAATCCTACACCAGCCCTCAGAATGTTTTCTCATGCTTAAAATAACAGTTTTTTATGCTTGACCAATGAAGTAGGTTTCCTGTGCCTCAGATTATTAGCCTCCATTAAAATGTCTATCACAGAACTTTCTAAGTGCTGTCATCAAGACTACCACATCGATTTTGGAAAGGAAGGTTGTGATCATAACAGTACTCTGCTTGGTGTATAGCAATGGAACGGGTCAACTTCTGGAAGACTCTGGGAGGAATTATGTTATTACACTTGTGAAAATTTATCCTTAAGAAAGTAGAGAGATTACCCAATTAGCTCATCTGTAAAATGGGACAACAGTACCTACCTCACAAATTAGTGTCAGGGTTAAATAGACCAAGAGTATAAAGATTCAGTAAAAATCAGTCCACCCATGATAGTTATCTTTGTTTTTGTTAACCCTGGGGAACATACTGAGGTTTGTGTTTGGCAGTAGAGCTGAAAGAAATTTTAGGCTGAATCAAAAGACAAGGCTGTTGGCTTCTTACCTCCAGAGAGTCATCTGCATTCACCATCCAACAGTCTGTCCAGGTGGCCACGATCAAAAACACAGTGGAGGAAAAGGCCAAGAAGCAGGCAGCGTACTGAAGGAGATCTCTCATGGCAGCAAGCATTCTGTCCCGAAGGGACACATCGGCAGACACCAGCCCTGGGCCCCCTGAGAGCTGAAGTGCTGTTGGTCTCTGTCGCTGGTACCTGGGGATGAGAGAACACAGGTCTTTTACTTTTCCTCACACCCCACTTGCAAGCTCCTTAAATTGCAATAAGAATTGTGCAAACAGGCTGTAACCAAGCAAAAGTCCTGGAGGTCACTATCCAGCAGCAAGTCTCCAATCAAAAGCCAGGGCAAGGGAAGGTCTGAGCACATTGTAGTGCAAGAGAGAAGGAGTTCAGACCCTGGGCTAATGAGTAGTGACCAACGGCCACAATCAGTCACAGAGGCCAAGATGGAGGAAGGAGGAAGGGTCCCAGCCTGGGCTGGGGCCTGTAAACTGATCTTTCTCAGGCCCTTGCAAGTGTGAGCTATTTTCCTCCCCCTCAGAAGGCAGCCCTACGCTTGACTGAATGCGATTTTATTGTTAGGACTAATTTAATATTCCCTGACTGCCTTAGACAGACAAGCTACTAGTAAAAGTATGCTAAGCAAGTCTTAGCTCAAGGGAGTTTGCATTCCAAAGTGTTAGGCCAACAGCTCCCAAGAAGGATCCCTAGCCAGCACCCAGGAGGCAGGGCCAGGAGCCTAACTTTCAGATCAGGGGCTGGCGATGAATGTGCATCTGTCAATTACTGTTTTATTTTCAATGGACACATAACATTCATACATATTTATGGAGAAGAATGTGGCTTGTTACTCTTCAGTTAAAGGAAAACTTAAGCACCTGTTTTTTAACAACAGAAAAACGAAAAACTCCAGTATTTTTCAATAATACCCCAGATCTACAAAAAGTACAAATCTACAAAACGGAGATTGTTTGGTGGTTCCTTAGCACAAGATATGCTCTACTTGACGGTGCGTGTGTGTTCAGCTGGTTTCCTGGTGACTTATTTTTAAAAATATTAGAGAAACTATACTAAATGAGTTAAAGACAGGATATCATTTAAGCTTCAATAGTACCATAAGATGATATCAGTGTTCCCATTTTACTGAAACCATGTTCTAAACAGTTGATCTATACATTTCTGAGCAAGAGGTTACACCAGGGTTGTCTGAGTTGAAATACTCAGTTGTAAGTCAGTACAGTCATTGTGGAAGGCAGTATGGAGGTTCCTCAAAAACAAAAAGCAAAGCTGTAAACCAGCAATCTGCTGGGTAAACACTGGAACAAAATGAAGCCAGGGTCTTGAACAGACATCTGCTTTTGGCTGATGGAAATGGCCTAAGCCTCCATTATCTGAAAACTAAACAGAAACTGTGTTGTCTATTTCCAGTGCCATACCTGAAGAATGATGGAATCCTGATGTTGCAGTGGCAGGGATGAGACTGAAGGACTCATGTAATAAGTCAGGCACAGAATGACAACCACCACATCACATGAGCTGTTTCTAGAAACCCCCTGAAGCTAATTTCAAAAAAGAATAAAGTAGAATGGAGGTTATCAGGGTCTGGAAAACACAAAAGCAAGGCTGAGGGAGAGTTTAGACCGAGTTATAGAAAGTAGGAGTGACACAAGCCCAGTAAGATGACTACAGCTGCCATGGTACAAGCTCCAAAGTACGTGGAAAAGAGAACAGAATGTCTCATCACTGAAAAATGATCAGAGTTGATGTACGCTCCGTGGCTATATGTGAAGCTTTACTTATTTTAAAGTTATCTCTTATTTTGCCTATCTTATATTTATTGATAATGAGTTTGTGTGTGTGTGTGTCTGTGTGTGTGTGTGTGTGTGTGTGTGTGTGTGTGATAGGCATCTAAGAGTGTGCACACATACATGTCGTGTACTTGGGAGGAGATCAGAAGAGAACTTTCTGGAGATACTTCTCTTTCTGCCCTAGGTTCCCTAGGGATGGACCTTAGGTCATCACACTTGCCTAGCAAGTACTTACACCTCCCAAGCCACCTTGCTGGTCCTGGGATACTTCTTAATTGACCACTACTTTCCTCCCTTATGAATCAAGGTATAATCTGTTGAATTGTATGTGCATATATACTGATTTTTTATTAATGCTAGCTTTTTGGTGGTACTGAGAATTGAACCCAGGACTTTGTTCATGCTCACTTAAGTCTTCCACACTGAGTCATTTCTCCCTTATTTTTTTAAATTAAATATTTTTGACTTTCTTTTCTGTAACTCAGGTTTTCCTTCCCTTTTTTTCTACCGTTTTAACATTTGTATCTCTTCATGTACATAATTATTGATGGTAAAGTTTACATACTGAGTACATATTTGTCTCTTCATTAATCAGTTCATTAGGAACACTTTTAATTTTCCTGTTTTGAAGCTTTGGGTTCCAGAACAGAAAAGTAACATAAAACTATTATCAGAGACTATTTAAAATCAGCCTCTCATATTCTCTCTTAATCAAGGTTTGACTCCATTTGTGTCATACCACCAGACTTACTCTTTGCAAAGCTAAGGAATAATTTATGATTTACACAAATACTGAAAGGCAGTGGACTTTTTTTCCCAAACATCTTGAATAAATCACATCTTTGGAACTTGTTTTGTATTTATTGTTTTGGCAAAAGAAATCCCTGTCATGTTCAGTATAATTAAGAGCAAATCATTTGTTTAAAAAAAAAAAAGCTTTTATTATTAGGTATGGTGGCACACACCTTTAATCCCAGCTCATGGGAGGCAGAAGCAGGCCAGTCTCTGCAAAATAGAAACCAGCTTGGTCTACATAGGGAGTTTCAGACCAGCTGGGGTGCAGGGAGACCCTCTCTCAAGAAGACAAAATAAATAAATAAAAATGAAAAATAAAAAATAAATAAAAAGGTTCTTTTCAATAACACACTTTTGTCTTTTATAATTTAGATTAAAATACCTTTTGACAAATCAATAAAAGAATAGAATTTATAGTAACAGTTAAGGGGAAAATATAATATGACCATGAATTTCTTATATTATTAATTTTATTCCATGAATTAATGCTTTAAAATGTATATACAATGAAAAAAAAACATACCCTAGTTGTTTTTTAAAGTGTATTTGAACATGGTAGGGCCAACTGCAGTTTAATAGACACCTGAGTAGGTAGCTTTTATGACTGAATATTCCATAGGCACTAGGTTTGTTTCTTAAATGCTTAAAGTACAAATATTACTGTTTTGGGTTCATGAGATAAACTTCTGTGTCAGTTCTGAACTATGGTAGTAAAAACGCATTTCACATGCTTCCAATGCAACAGAGAGACTGCAGAAAAAAAAGAGAAAGAAGGACAAAGCTACCCAAAGAAACCCCTCTAAAAGGAATCAGTTATGGAGATAACTGTTTCCCCAACAGCTCATGCAGGGATTGCCTTTTCTACCCCCCATTTAAAAGTACTTTTTCCACAGCAATTAAGGTAAAAGGCTAGCTGGCAAAAATGAGAATTCATGAAAATATCTTTCAAGAATATATTAAAATAAGGGCTGGAAAGATGGCTTAGCGATAAAGAGTACTGGCTGCTTCTGCAGACTATCCTGTTTGGTTCCCAGCACCCAAATGCCAGCTAACAACTGTCCATAGCTCCAGTTCCAGGGGATCCAATGCCTTCTTATGACCTGCACAGGCATTGTACAACATGGTGCATTTATATATACATGTAGGCAATACACTCCTACACATAAAATAAATAAATTAAAATTTAATAAAATTTTAAAAGAGTATATTAAAATAGGGCTGGGGATTTAGCTAGTTTGTGAAGCGCTTCCCTAGTATACACAAAGCCTTGGGTTCAGTCCCTGCCACCACATAAACAGGGCATGGTGGTGCATATGTCTAATCATAGCACACAGGAGGTGGATATAAAAGGATCAGAGCTTGAAGATCATCTTTGGATACATATCAAGTATGATGCCAGTCTGGATATGTAAGACTGTCTAACATCAACAAAAGAATAAGTAAAAAGAAACAGAAATATTATATTAAAATGTTAAATTCCTTTTTTTTTATTTTTTGCTTCTTCACACAGTAGTGTGACAGCACCGGCAGCTCGGCTTCTATTTTCATACTTGGGCAAATCACAGTCACATGTCTACAACACTGAACAATAATAAAATGGTTTCTCATACTCATGAGAACCACTCAAATGTTTACAGAACACTGAATAATATTAATATAGCTTGACTATAACAATTCAGCAAAATAAAATGAGCAAGACAATATTATCTCCATAATAAAGTCTTCTTGAGAGATCAGCATGTCTCCTGAGAAACTAGGGGACCACTGGCATTCGGAGATATCTCCCCAGCAAGCATTCTTGCATAAACTTTCTCTAGAGACACAAGACTTTCCAGACATACATGCTCAAAGTTCAGCTTAATTGAACAAGACAGGGACTCCCTGTAGCCCCAGCTGGACTGGAACTCACTATGTTGACCAGGCTGCCCTCGAACTCTCAGAAATCTGACTGCCTCAATCACCAAGTGTATTTTTTAAATCTGTTTTTGTTGAATTTTTCTGTATTTCATACAAAACATCTCAAACCATCTTTATCATCTTTATACCCCCATCTCCGCTGTCACCCTCCAATAACTCCCCCCACACACACACACTGAGGACCATATACTGTGTAACCCCTGTAAAGGCCCACTGTGTCAAGCCAGTGTCAACAGATGCTCCCAAGTGCAAGTCCATCCACTGAGGTCTAGTCAGCCTATCTAGAGTCTCTTGTTTGAGGAAGATCAGCTCTTCTTTACCTAGCAGCAATCAGTTACCAATATTTCCTCAGTTAAGATTGGGGTCTGCTGTTCATTTTCCCAGTTCTTTGCTGGGTTATTGTCTGCCTAAGTCTGAATAGGACTTGAGTATGCAGACACCATTGCCATAGAATCACATCAGCAGGTACCCAAGATCTTGTAGGACTCCATTTCCATATGGTCATGCACCTCCTCCCTGGCTCATGCTATCTTTCTACTCTTTCTTCCATGGTGGTCCCTGAGCCTTGGGTGGGCAAGGTTCAATTTAGAAGTCCCATCCAAGGACCAGCATGAGGGCAGACTCTTGATCTGTACTCTTTGGCCATTTGTGACATTTTATGTTTCTGGCCCTCCACTGCATGAGGGAGCTTCATTAATGAGAACTTAGAGATTCATTAGTGTCCTCTTCTGTTCTATGTTCCATGAGCCTTAGGTATAGAGGTTACATTGTAAATGTCACTTAGCCTGGGAAATTCATAGACAAAGTCCATGTGTGACCAGTGTGGTTCTTGGTAATAGTCTCTGAC